AGAAATTGTTTTTTTTTTTTTTTTTTTTTTTTTTTTTTTGGTACTGGGGATCGAACTCCGGACCTTGCATTTTCAAAGCAGGCAGCAGAACCACTGAGCTAAATCCCCAGCCGGAGATAGTCTTTTTTTTCCCACATAGAATTAGTAATTTACCAAAAAACCCAAACATACACACGGTACTTTTTAAAAATAGTGTTCTAAACACTTTACAGTATTATTTCTTCCTTTCTGTATGATTCCTCTTTATTTATTTATTTTTATTTTTTGGTGGAACCAGGAATTGGCTCAGCCTGCACACTGAGCTACATCCCCAGTCCAGACTCCTCCTTTTACTTATTTTTATTTTTTATTTTCAGACAGTCTCACTAAGTAGCCCTACCTGTATTCAAACTTGCTGTCCTGCCTCAGCTCTTCACAGTGCTGGATTACAGACCTGCACCACCATGCCCATTTCATATGATTCTTGTAAAAGTTTAGCAACTCATAACTGTACAGAAGAAAATAAAATGAAAAATCGGTTCTCTCCCTCACATCTCATCCAAGAAAACAGTGTCAACTTTTCAGTGTAAGGCTTTCCTGGTGCTTATATATATAATGTATTAAAATGGAGTTCTGAGCCAGACATGTGGCACACACCTATAATCCAAGCACTCCAGGGGCTGAGGCGGGAGAATTACCATGAGTTCTAGGGCAGTGTCAGGTACATAGTGAGCCTGAACTACAAAGGGAGAGCCTTATGTATAATTAATTAATTGAGTTATTTTGTATATACAATGTTAAACCTGCTTTTTGCACTTAAATATACATCATGGTATTTTATTTTAACCAAATGAGTACTTCATGCACTTTGTTTTTTTCCCTTTTTCTGTTCACTTAACGGATCCTTTAATGTCATTTTCTTCCATTCTATCCCCTTCATGTCCCCTTAGGGTTTTCAGTCCCTTCCATCTCTCATCCTCTCTACCTCCCTAGATGACAGGTTCCTGGTATGCTGAGGTTCCTTCTTTACTGGGAGCCCAGTCTTCCTCCCCATTTGCTCTATGCTTTCCTCCCAGGAAATTCTTGGCCCCAAGAGATTCTGGTGAGGATCCCAGGGTTGGATGTGTGTAGGACCTTCTCCACGGTGGCCTTGCTGCATATGCGGCTTCTTCCCAGGAACCCAGAAGTTTCCCTTGCCCCTTGCATAGCCCCTGTCCTGGGCATTAGAGCCTGGTGGGGTCCTCACAGCAGTGTGTCTACAGGTGCCTTTTCCTACCATGGTTGCTCTTCTCTGCATGTGGTTTGGGATCTCCCTGCCCCTTGTCTACTTGGGCTACTACTTTGGCTTCCGAAAGCAGCCATATGACAACCCTGTGCGCACCAATCAGATTCCCCGGCAGATCCCTGAACAGCGATGGTACATGAATCGATTTGTGGGGTAAGTCTGATGGAGACAAGAGCAGAGGGCTTTGAAAGATGTGGACCCAGCACTCCCCTGAGCCACAGCTTAGGAGGACAGGGAAGAGGGTGCCCTCACCAGGAGCTGCGACCAGTGCTCCTGCAGCAGCTGTAGTCATGCTAGTAGACATTTCCCTCCATGACAAAGAGGACAGGGTTGCAGCAGACTTGATGCCAACCTGGGAACCAGGACGAGGGAAGGGAAGGATGAAGGGTGTGGTGGGACACCTTAAAACCATCACTTGGACCTGTTTCCCACCTGCAAACTGTGGAGAATGATACCTACCCTGCCTACCTCTTAAGAGAATATAATGGCTGAGCAGCACAGAGAGGACTTAGGACCCCTACCTGCATAGGTACTGTCTCCGCGTCACTACGGGAGAGGGGAAGCTTGGGTTTCCTGCTGGCTGGGTCTGGGTGGTGTTGACCCTAGTGCTCTGCTGCAGCATTCTCATGGCTGGGATCCTGCCCTTCGGCGCCATGTTCATCGAGCTGTTCTTCATCTTCAGTGTGAGTACTGTCCCCGCCTTTCCACACCTCAGCTGTGCCTGCAGCCTGGTCTCTCCCCATTGCCTAGGCACACTGCCTCTTATTCCTTGTGAAATTGCAGGCAGGCTGTTTAACCTCTCATATTCCCATTCTGCACCCTGAAATTGGGTGACAGACTTGCCTGCCAGGACAACTTTGAAAGGTCAAGGAGATTCGTCATGTGTACAGGGTCTGGTTCATGGAACAGGCTCAGAACATGGAATTTCCTTCGGTAATACCACAGATCATTCACCCACATGATGAAGATCATTGCTATATCTTTCCAGGTCCCTTCCCTTTTTGTGGGAGGGTGAGACAGGGTCTCACTTAAGGGGCAGGGAGTGTAGTTTAGTCCAGGCTAGCCTCGAACTTGAGGCAATTCTCGTGCCTCAGCTTCGTGAGTGCTAGGATTACGGGTATGTGCCACCATACCCAGCTCACTTCCCAACTTTTTACCTGTTGACATCACCCAAAACTTAAGGCAAGTAGGGAGAATGTTCCCCATTGTCTAGATCTTTGTGGTCTGTAAAGGCACTTGGCATTCAGGAAATGCTACTGAAATGCTCCTGAATGCTACTGGCATTCAGGGAATGTGATGTCACTCCTTCCTGGGAGTACCAAGATGGCAGGAGGGATCCTCAGAGCCCTATAAGTCTAGTGATCCAGCCCATGTCCAGCACAGATGGTGCCATGCCCCAGTCAGTGCTGGACAAGTGTCTGCTATTACAGAGTAGTTGACGGGCCCCTGGCACACGCAGGCCTGCCTAAGTTAGCTGTCCTTTGATCCCTGTGCATTTCTCATCTATGTGCCCCTGGGCCAGTTACTGTCCTATCTTAGCCTTCACCTCCTTAGCTATACAAGGCCATGCTTACGTAGGCCCTCATATGGAGATAAGTGTAGCACAGTGCCTGCCGTGTGGTAAGCTGCTCCTGAGTGCTGATGGCTGCTCCATATTTTGATTATTTCCTACGTGCTGACACCTTCAGATAGGCCCTTCAGAGTAGGCTTCATCATACCCCAGCCGCTCCCTAAGAACATGATGGCTCGCCCCTTGCTCCAGTCAGAGCCACATTCAAAGCCCACCTGCCCAGGTAGTATTCTGATGGTTTCTCCATTCTTGCTCTGGTGACAGATAATATGCAGGGAAAGGGGTAGCTGAGTTGGGGCCAGACCAGCTGAAGGTTTACTCTGATATGTCCACAGGCCATCTGGGAGAATCAATTCTATTACCTCTTTGGCTTCCTATTCCTTGTTTTCATCATCCTGGTGGTGTCCTGTTCACAAATCAGCATTGTCATGGTGTACTTCCAGTTGTGTGCAGAGGTAAGGAGAATGGGGCCGGGAAGTGAGGAGGAGAAGGGCTGGACCCACCATTAAACAGGTGAGTGAGGTTCTGCAGAGGTTAGGTCTGGGTTTCCCAGGTGGTCCCTGACTTAGACTGAGTCTTGGACTAGGGAGTTGCTTCCTTCTCCAAGCCTCCCATTTCTCAGCTGTGCACTGCAGTTAATGATACTGTACCAGCTTCACTGTATGGTTGCGTGGGGTAGTCACCCCAGCTTGATAAAGGACAGTAGGTTTGTCAGTACCAGGTCCACTCCAGTGGTAGTTTCTCCAGCAGCCTGATACAGATTGGTGACCTGCCCTTCTTCTGGGGGCTAGCTCCTGCAGAATAGGTAAGCCAGGGCCATGGGACTACCAACTTGGGCCTGAATCTGCGTCCTTCACCACTGGCTCTGGATCTTCAAGTTGCTCAGTGTCTGTACTTCCACTGCTCCTCAGGTAATAGACCTAACTTGGAGGCTGCTTCAGATGCTAAATGAGCTGACTGAGATGAGTCCTTAAAGTGGTGCCTAGTACATAGAAAGTATTTGCTCAATGCATGATGATTTTGGAGGAAAAGGGATGTAGCTCAGTGGTAGAGCACTTGCCCAACGTGCAAGGTGCCATGGGTTCAATCCTTTGTACTACCAGAAATTAAAAAGAATTTGCCATGCGTGATTGTGTGTACCTATAGTTCCAGCTACACAGGAGGCTGAGCAAAGAGGACTGCAAGTTCAAGAGTAGCCTCAAGCAGTTTAGCAATCCCCTGGGTCAATCCCCGATACCTTTATATGTATATAGTTGATTATTTTTCTGTTATTTTTTAATTGAGGTATAATTTATAGACTGTAAAATGCACCCTTTTTAGTCTGCAGTTTTATAGTTTTTAGAAATGCACAGTTAAAATAACCACCAGCACAGTTAGGCTACAGGATATTTCTATTACTCAAATGTTACTCTTCTTACCCCGAGTCTTGAGCTCCTTGGGCAACTATATAATTTGGCTGGAAGAGGACCGGGAGAAAACAATGACCCTCCCTCTTTTTCTCTTTAGGATTACCGCTGGTGGTGGAGGAATTTTCTAGTCTCCGGGGGATCTGCATTCTACGTCCTGGTCTATGCCATCTTTTATTTTGTTAACAAGGTACCACCTTCCTGGAGGGCCCTTCTGTCCTCTTTAGGCGGGATAGTGGAGAGTAAGATACAGAGGGGAAAACCTCAGTGTCATAATCTTACTTTCCTGGCCTGGTGTGGTAGCACATGTCTGTAATCCCTGCACTTAGGAGGTTGAGACAGGAGGATTGCTGTGAGTTTGAGGCCAGCCTGAACTACATAGGGAAGGCCTGTCTCAAAAAACAAAAATCAAAAACAGAAACTTTCTCACTAAGAGTGAGGACCATTCTTAGAACATGCATCTTTTAAGAAATCAGAAATCAGAGTTCTGTATGTTTGAGAGACAACCCTCAGGATAAACGACAGTAGAAATAGTGTACAAAACCTGAAATAAAATACTCCCAAAGCAAGGCAATGTGTCTTTGAGACTGATAATACAGTAAGTTATACACCTCAAGATATTAGGGAAAAAATAGAAAAGAATAAAGGAAGATGAAAGGAGTTAGTAAAGATCAAAGAAGAAAATGCTGTGTAGCCTCTAGAACCCAGATTCAGAACCTCAGGTTTCCTGTCTCTAGGGGCTTCCTTCTCTTCCCCACTAAGTACTATGTGGTTCTGCAGAGTAAGGAAAGGACCATCAAAGAAAGGGCTTTGCCTATGTCTCCAAGGCCAGCCACTTTGCCATGTAAGCCCACATGGATCACATGTGGGCTGCCAGCAAATGGAAGGTGGCTTGCATAACTAGAATAAGCTCACAGAGCTCATGTCCCTGAAGAGTGGCATGAGTAACAGTACAAACAGACCCCTGCAGTTTTGGTAGATTCATGCATGACACATAAAAACAGATGTGCCTGTGAAAGGAGTTCAAGGGGCTCTCATGGACCCCTGACCTTCTCAGCTAACACTGAAGACTTGATCTCACCTGTTGTACTTTGGCTTTCCAGAGCCCAAAAGCAAGTAGTCTGCTTGGAACCAGGCCATATTTGCAAAACAGTTGTAGGTCTGCTGGTTGAAGCTAAGAATGCTTTTCCCAGGTTGGACTGGACTTGAAAGATCATGTGGCAGGCTGCTCCCAAAGTAAAATTTATTTTTTGTACCAGGGATCAAACTCGGGTCCTTGTGCTTGCAAGGCAGGCAGTGGCACCACTGAGCTAAATCCCCAGCCCTCAAAGTAAAATTTTGTTGAACTACTGCAGTGATCATTCATTTACCTATCATCTGTGGCTACTTTCATACTGCAGTAGCAGTTGAGCAGTTGCAGTGGTATGTAAAACCTAATATATATATATTATATAATATATATAATATATATATATATTGTGACCCTTTAAGAAAAAGTGTACTACCCCTACTATAGCACATTCAGTTACAGAAAATGTACTCATTTTTGACATTCCCGTTCTCCTCCTAGACAGCTCCTGCTATTACAGAGATCTTCCTTGAGTCACACTGCAATCTGCCCCCCTGTAGCTTGCATCTTCAGATCTTATTCAGTCCTATTCCAAGATCACCCACAGTTAATCTAATACCTCTTCTACATGAGTTACAGTTCTTGTGATTGGCAGGTGACCAAAACCCACTTCATACTGTCTTAAGCCAGAGAACTTACTGGCTGATAGAAATGAACAGTTTAAGAAGATGGAGTCCTAGCTTCAGGCATGGTTAGATCCAGGGTCTGAAAAATACTAAAGCTCTGTCCATATCTTAGCTCTGTGTGTCTGCAGGCTGTATCTTACCACAAAGTAGAAAGCTAGCCAGTGGTAGATACGGTGTCTCCTCTTTTCAGCTCCACAGCCTATAACTAAAAGAATTTCTTTCCTCACAGGGAATACCTCAGTACCTCGCTCAGGTTTGCATGCCTGTTGCTCATTGTTTACCAGACCCAAAGAATGGTGTACTCTGATAGACTATCTTAGGTTTTATATGAAGATTAATGCCCACAACAGGACACAAACTAGCCAATATATTCCTCAAAACACTTGAAGAAGAAGACAGGAAATAGTGTCGGGCAAATAAAAATTACAGGCCTCATCAAAGGCTCCCATCCCACCTTGTACCCCAACTTGCTTACTCATCTAAAAACCTCTTCCTCCAGCCCCAGTGTAAGATGAGGGCCTTGGCTACATGAGCTCACAGGGCTCCTCCGGCATTGTTTTTGCTCATCCCTTTCCTGGTTTGACCATTGTCTTGCTCCTTCCTCCCTAGTGCCATCACCCCTTCAGTACTCACAAGATGGCTTGTAGGAGAGATGGGAGGTTGAGTCTGAAAATAGCACCTTTACCTCTCAGTCTTAGGAAAGAGTCTCAAGTAGTGACCTGTGCTGCTTTCTTTATTTCTTTTTCTTTATTACTTTCTTCTGAGCTCCTGGCACTTTGTGACCACATATCTACCCATGGGCCCTGGTGCACTGGGTACACCTTGGTACCAGAATTTCAAATTAGCTCCATTTGTCCCAGCAAACACCATCATAGTACAGATCCCGTGTATCACAAAGGAATCCAAATCACAAGGGAATCTGACATGTTCCAAGATAAAAGTCACCATGAGATGTTAACAAAAGTGACAGGCATTCTTGAGAAAGGAATGTTTCCTGATGGTGACTCTCGGGTCCTTCGGGTCAGAACTTTGGGCACCTCTCCTCACTGTACCTTCTGCTGTCCAACAGTGTTGCTGTTCTATTCTAGGGACTGGAGGACCAGGGAATGTCCCCACTGTGGTCATTCCTGCTTATAGCATTCTGGTCCTGAGGTTGTGAGCATCCAAGGCAGTACACAGGCCCTGGAAGAGATAAAGGCTGGCTATGGCTGTGAGCCCCTGTGCCTAGCAGGTGGCAGTTTTACGATTACATGGGTGGGAGTTGGGCAGTTTGTCACGGCCACCTGGTACTAAGCGTCCATCCCTCTCTTCTCTCCCCACTGTCACCCCAGCTGGACATCGTCGAATTCATCCCCTCTCTCCTCTACTTTGGCTACACAGCCCTCATGGTCCTGTCCTTCTGGCTGCTCACAGGCACCATTGGCTTCTACGCAGCCTACATGTTTGTCCGCAAGATCTATGCTGCCGTGAAGATAGACTGATTGGGGTGGACCGTGGCTAGGCCACTCCATCCTTGGACAGGAAGCCACCCTGCGTGGGGAACTGCAGGCACGCAAAATAAAGTAACTCCTGCTCATTTGGAATGTAACTCCTGGCACAGTGTTCCTGGATCCCAGGGCTGTGGGGGGGACGGGAGGGCCTGTAGATAAATCTCACATTTTTCTTCATCTTATTCCAGTTTTTGTGGGGGCTGAGTTTTTTGTGGGTCGTTTTTTCCTTCAGTGCTAAAAAAGTTCCCTTTAGCAGGAACTCTCTGACCTGTCTGTTCAGGTTTATTTTGGTTTGGGTATTTTCCCTTAGTTTTTTAACAAATGGATCCAGGATGGATAGCTCTACCAAGATACTGGGTTTGGTCACTGTCTCCACTTCAGTTCCTCAGGGCTATTGGCCACCCCACAACTAACCAGAAGAGGAGAGGCTGGGGCCCAGTGACAGTTCGGAGCCTCACCATCTGTGCTCCCCGTGGATGTTACAACACTGTACCATTCTAGCCCGGACATCCCCTCAGTGCCAAGCAGCCTCTCACCCTACCCCATCCACTTCTCTTACATCGCCTCCTCCCAAGCTACCAGGGCAGAGCTTTCAGCCGGGCCTATGAGCCACCATTTCACCAGGAGCAAGCCCAAGATTTGGTGGCTACAAGGAAAAAGCCCTGGAAGCACTGGGGCAGTTTCCCTAGGACATCAGCAATTCCCCCATCAGAGCAGCCTAAGTCTGCCTACCAACAAGGAGGAAGAGGATAGACTTGCAGTGAACTGTGCTTGTGCCAAGAAACCCTGGACCTGAAGCCAAGTATTTGCAGAGCCAAGCATCCGCCTGTCTGTGTCTGAGAAGGAATGGCTAAGGCCACTTGGGACTGCTCCTCAGTTCTCTCTTCAGGGGCTGCCAATCTTTCCAAAGTGCTGGTGGTGGACCTTCTACTCCACTTTAAGGGCAGAATAAGGAGGCCTGGAGACTTACCATCCGCTCCTTCAGTTGGCTGGTCAGAGCCTTTCTCTCCCTCATGTCCCCTGGCCTCAGTGTTTCTGCTCACTTACTTTAGCCAGACTCAATGCCCCCCCCTCCCACCTGAGTTATTTTGGGACACCCAGAGAACTGCCTGAGAGAAGGAAGCTGTATTATTCCTTCCCCATTTCCCAGGAAGAGGCAAGAAGCCCAGTGTCCCCAAGCTGGAAGGAGGAGGCTTATGTGGCTGCCCGGCTCCTCGGCGGAGCCCCAGTCTTTCCAGCCCCAGGCCACCTGTACAAGTCACAGACTTTGGCTGTCTTGTCCATCTGGGATTAGGATTTAAATGATAGCCTCTTGTCCTTGCTCTGATCCTTTTGGGACTCCACTAGACAAAGCTCAGGATGCTGGTTATGCTAGGAACACCCCACACACGTGCCCCACCCCTGCCAGCTCTAACAATCAAATTGGTGAGCTTCTGAATCTTGCCTCATAGTGACTCCACAGTACCAGGAGGCGTCTACCAAGAATCAGGTTTGAGAAGAGGGAACCCAAGCAGTAGAGAATAATATTGGAATCTTTTGTTCATTCAAGTCTTGAATTTTTTCCCCCTAAGGGATTCTTTTTTGAGGGGAAATGGGAAAATGGACTCCACAAAGGGTTCAGACATCGTCAATTTTTCTGACTTTTTAAATCATCATTATTTTTAATTTAAAAAAATGCTTGTATGCCTTTTTTTGGTCCAATTGTAAATAAAAATGCCATTGTCCTGTTATGTCTCAAATCACATTTAAGGGTTAGGGGTCTGAGGTCTGACAGCTTCCCAAAGTAGGTTGTGCTAAGTAGTTGTCCTTGAAGCTCCTGCCAGGCTTTCTAGCCAGGCCTCAGGCCACTGCTGTTCACTACCTAGTACAAGTCCCTAGCCTCTCCTGTTTGCTCAGCCCCCCTCTATACTGAATGACAAGCACATGCCCCTCTCATTCTACAGCAGAAAATGGCCATGAGGTAAAGTGAGACCTGTCTTTGGCTCCCAGCTCCAATATTTTACAGCCAACTCACTTCACCCTCTTTTGTCATGAGTAACTCCTTTAGTTGAAGCAAAAGAAATATAGATTGATACATGCTTGTAGGTCCAAGACTGGCAAAGCTGAGATGAAAGAATCATTTCAGCCCAGGAGTTAGAGACCTAACAAAGCAAGTTGATGAGAGAAGAAAAGAGCAGGGGCAGGGAAGGGGATGTAGATCAAGTAGTTGGGGATATAGCTTGGTGGTAGATCTTGTACTTAGCATACACAAGGCCTTGGATTTGTTCCCCAGCACCAAAAAAGAAATGTAAGTCAAACTAACCTGAGTCCTAAATAGAATTAATTGGTTATAAGTCATCAAAAACTTTGGTTTTTCTTCAGGTCTAGCTAGATCTGGGAGCTCAAAGGATAGTCTTGGGGCTTGCTCCATTGTGCTTCTCTCTCAACTCAATTCTGTTCCATTTTCAACTATGGCAGAGGGCATATTGCCTGCCTCTAAATTTTCGAGTTGGTTTGCCCAGGGAGAGAGAAAAACACATCTTCTTCCCTACTTCAGTATATTTGTTAAATATGGAAATCTCAAGAAAGGTCTTTGGCCCAGATTGGATTGCTCTTTGTATATCTTGTGCCAATCATTGTAATCCAGGGGAATAGAGTACTTTCTCAAGGGTGTTGGATACTATGAATTTCAGCTCCAATAAAATTACTAGACTCAGGCTGGGGGTTTCGCTCAGTGGTGTTGCTGCCTGCCTCACGAGCTCAAGGACCCGAGTTCAATCCCCAGTACCAAAAAAAAAAAGTTACCTAGAATGGGTGATAAGCAAAAAGCAGTCTACCTTAAACCAGTCATGGTGGCGCATCCTGTGATCTCAGCACTTGGGATGTTGATTGAGGTAGGAGGGTCGCTGAGGGTTCAAGGCCAGCCAGGGCTACTTGAGTTCTGGGCCAGCCTGAACTCCATAGCAAGACTCTGTTGAGAAAAAGAAAAGAACGGGCAGTCTCCCATGGAAAAGTGGCAAAGCAAACAAAAAGAGTTGACTGTAAGACCTTACCCCACTCCAGCTCAGCCTTGCTTTTCTCTAGAATATTTTCTGTGTTCCAAACCCTATTCCATTTTCCATGTGTTGGCCCATTTAACACATTGACAATGGGGTCGTAATTCATATATCTCACTTCTGGGCAACTCTGAATCGCTGGTGGTACATGCGTGACTGTTCCATTCAGCAGTACAAGCCACCTGATGGGACAGTCATGCATGTGCCACCAGTAGCTCAAGCCAGCAGCAATGTGTTAGTCTAATAGCAGAACAGCTGAGGTAACCTGTTGCGTGTCCCTGCAGCTGTGATGGACTAACTGGAGCAGCTGGACTCTAACCTCTTTCAGCCACTGTTCTGTAGCTACTGTTTTCAAGGTATATTTACATATTTTATTTGTATAAAATTATATATTATTGATGTAAATGAACTGCGAAATTTGGTAAGTTGACACACCCATGAAACCATCACCAAAATTAGTGTAGAGAAAATAGCCAGGTTTTCTCATTCCCCTCCAACCCTCCGCCACCCAAAGCAGCCACTCATCAGGTTTCTGTCATACTTATTTGCCTTTGAGGTCTGACTTTTCATTCAGCTTAGTTAATCCATTCTTTTTTTTTTTTTTTAATTTAGAAGTAGTACTCCATTGTGTGGAGTTTGTTTATTCACTTATCCTTTCCCAGACATTTGAGTTTCCCATTTTAGCTATACAGATAATGTTACAACTACGGGAGGCGGGGGCAGTGAAATAGCTGGAACTTGAGGTAAGTGTATGTTTAACCCAAATGACCAAGCTCTATCCTAAGGTGCTTGCATCAAATTATGTATCATATACATCATGTATCATATACATCATTTTAATTTATATTTCCCTAGTAAATAATATCAAGCATCTTTTCGTGTGCTTATTATTCACGTATCTTTGGTGAAGTATCTGTTGAAATATTTTGTCCACTTTTTATTCGATGATTTGGGTTAAGTTTTGAGAATTCTTTACATTTTGTGTGTATATGTCATTTATCAAATGCTTTGTTTGCAAAGATTTTTTTCTCTATGTGTTTTTGTTGTTTGTTTCACTTTGTTTGTTTGTAGTACTGGGAATTGACCCCAGGGACTTTGCACTGAACTGCAACCCCAGCCCTTTTGTTATATTTTTTCCTTTTGTTATTTTTTATTTTGAGACAGAGTCTTATTTCTAGGCTGGTTTTCCTTTCCCTTTTGCCTTTGTGCCTTTGACAAATCAGCCACATATGAGTAAATTTATTTCTAGAATTTCTATTCTGTTCCATTGATGTTTGCTTACTTGTATGCTAATACTGGTTTTTAGTACTACAGCTTTATAATTCTTTTTTTTTTTTTTTTTTTTTTTTTTTGGAAACAGGGTCTCACTATGTAGTTGAGATGGACCTGGAACTCACTATGTAGTCCAGGCTGGTCTTGAACTCATAGCAATCCTCCTGCCTCAGCCTCCCAACAGCTTTATAATTCTTAAAATCAATTTCTGCTACCCTATAATTTTGTTTTCAGAGTTGGTTTAACCATTTCAGGCCTTTTGTATGAGTCTTTAAATCATCTTGTTGATTTCTACAAAAAGCTTGCTGAAGGCCAGGGATGTACCTCAGTGGCGCCCTGCCTTCCTGGTAAGTGCAAGGTCCTGGGTTCAAACCCTGGTACCAGAAAAAAAAATTATTGGAATTGTGTCAAATCTATAGATAATTTTGAGAAAAACTGATGACAATGTCAAATCTTCCAACCCATGAGCAAATTATACTTCTCCATTTATTTAAGTCACATTTACTTTCTCTCATCAATATTTTATATCTTCAGTGCCTAGATTTTTCACATCTTTATTCACCCTCAGTACTAAGCATTAACCTAGAACCTTTGCACTCACCCACATCACTAGCCCTTCTATTCTGAGATAGGGTCTCTCTAAATTATCCAGGCTGGGCTCAAATTTGTGATCCTCCTGTGCCCCTCCTGTGCCTCAGTCTCCCAGAGTGCTGGGATTATAGGCTTGTGCCACCAGTTTTTCACATCTTTTGTCAGAC